AAATCTGATAGGGGCCACGAACCCGAATGCAATTGCGTGCCCGATAGTAGCAAGATTATTAGTTCTAGGTTTCGCGACCAGGACCCCTCTCCATCCCCGTGATTCTTGCTAGCTTTAGAACACGAGATCCAAAAAAATGACGACAATTCTGTATTTCGCGATTATTTCCGGCTCCCAGGGGCTAGGGGCTGGAGCGCTTGGGAACGCTTGCGGACCTTGCGCGCGTATTCCGCATCAATTCCTAGCCCCAGACCCCAACCTTCAAATAAGAATCCTTCTGCTACAAATTCTAGAAAATAATGAAAAAATATATATATATAATATTATATGACAGAAAAATAATATGAAATAATGAAAATACTATATTAAATATTTATATAATTTATTCAAATTGTATTTTAATTTATAATCATTATATATCAAAACCTACAGAAATAATAGAAAATATTTTCTAATAGAATAATTCAATATTATTTAATATATATATATATATCAATATCCATAGCTTGAAATGAATCTCGCTAATTTAACATATAAAGATGGTATAGAAAAATCTTTGATATTAAATATGAAATAGACATAGATATCTTAATAATTATCGATTCGAAATAATATCCCAATTATGAAATGAATTTTTACATCATATAATCAAATAATAGAAATATTATCATATAATCAAATAATACAACTAAATCTATCATAGAATAAATTAATTAGTATCAATATTTTTTAAAAAATAGACCGATGACGCTCGCCATGACGGCGAATAATATAATGAAATCAACCGATACGACAATATAACGAGATGATAATAAATAAACTCATCATCGACGATATCTTGATAATCAATATCAAGATAAATATCACGACCCATAACGACCGACGACAACACGCCAAAAATGAAAACACACGACAGACGCCACAACAAGAGATACGACACGACGAATAACGCTCGAACAAATAAGACGAGGACAGAACAGAATATACGACACCAGACGATACGATGGATGAGGACGGACACGATGGACGGCACATCACCAGACGACGCACGACGGACGATGACGATGACGGATGACGAACGCCGGTCGACGACAAGCGCACGACTGACGCTATGACGGATGCCGACGACGTCCACCGGGCGCACTATTCAAGCTTCCAAAATCGTAGAAATAATCATCGACAATTTCTTCGTATCTCAATTCGTATAGTGACAGCTCGACACCGCTGAACCAATCACGAAAGAATCGAGCAGGCGGCGACATTATATTGGAGCTCCATCATTACGTCTTGCGCGCTAATTTTGATGAAATTTTGAGATGAAAAGTCCACGAAATTTTCCATAACGCGTAAGCAGTTTCAAGAGTGTAATCTCCAAAACTTCATAAACATATTGGAAACGACATCGAAAAACTATTGAAATTTTAGGTCGCGCTAAGACGTGTTTCATGCCGCAAAATTTCCCGAGAATTTCGTGGAAAACGACGCCGGCCCCAAATTATTCCTAGATTCTTGGGGGCATGAGACCAAGAGACTAGAACGTTTCCTGCTGGTGTGGATCCATGAAATACATTTCTATTGTTAATACCAAATTTCCATTAAAGTTAGAAGATTCATCCTATAAACACATTTTCGTAATGAAACCGAAATTAATCATATCAATAAGTTCAAAAAATTTAAAGACCAATCTAATAAACTCTCTGTACTCTTATATTCCATCGGCGGCCCTCTCTCGGGGCGCCACGAACCAACTACTTAGAAGATGAAATGTCTCTGAATACTTGTACTTACATACTCTTCGTCTTGTGGGCTGAAGCTCAGCAAATTAGTTTTCGTCGCGATCTTGTGATTGTCACTGGTGACCCAAGGCCCCAAGCGAGAAATGACCCCGCACAGGGCCGTGGCCTTAAGCAATCCCCAATGACCCGAGGCTCCATCGAGTAGATACTCTTAGGCTCTTTGTTGCTGGGGCCCTCAGCCTTTAAACTTTTTAAGCTTGAGATCATCGGGACGCAGGCCCCTTAACCAATGAAAAAAAAACTGCGCTGTGAGTTGCATCATTTCTTTGGCTAACGGTTTAGGGTGTAGTATGGTGTAGTGTAGAAAGAGCAGTGAGTGTACCCTAAACAACTGCCGAAGTACGGAGTGATCTCAAGATAGGAGTCACAAGCATCGAAGCAGAAGCAGGTAGTTTCAGGGTTTAGGGGCAGAGGTGTCATAAGGAGCACACGTGTTGGCATCAATCAAACATGGCTACTCTTTAGATGATATAAACTATGCATTATGAAGTATAAATAATCTAGATATTTATAAAAAAACGTTCTGGAGCTTCTGGGCCTCTGGGTGCATGTTGTCCAATACCTGGCCTACGCGACAAGCACTGGGAGGGTCAGAGCGCTAAGACTATGCTGAAGCAGCTCGCAAAACACTACAGAGCACGACTCCCCTAAACCTTAAACCCTAAACCCTAAACGCTGAGTTGAGGATTTGGGGCCGGGGCATATCTGCGTGTGGTGGTTTCGTGCTCTGTACGGCTGTGCCTGGAAACACGACGCTGGCATACTACGCAGGGTGTTTGCCCGTAGAAGATGAATTTTGTTTTCAGGCACTTCGACACAAGGCAATGTGTGCAAACACGCAGAAACGAACAACTCCAGAAAGCTCAGAGGCTCAATTTTTTCTTGTACTGTATAAGGCTTGTGAGATGATAACTTGTCAGACAGTAAGTATCTGTAGCTTGCTTTCAGAGAACATCGAAACCTGTAGCCTCTAATGTATCAGGAGAGGACTACCGCGCACAACTTCTTGGACACTCACCGTGCTCAGTGCGGCTTGGAGGGGTCGTGGAAGTGGAACTTCTCGACGCCCATGATGGGCATGAGGGTGTCGAAGATGAGGAACTGGCCGGCCGTGAGAGTTCCAATCATGACGCACCTGGGGCCGAGGCCGGTGGTGCAGAGCTTCACGAAGCCAGTCTCCTTGGCGATGTTTCCGAGCCGGGAGATCATGCTGCCATCGCCACCGGCACCCTTCTTGTTGATCTTCGAGAGCAAAGAGTCGGCAGGGTGGGAGATGATGGCCGCAGCGACGCCCGCGATGAAGCCGGAGGTCATGGACACGCCCATCTTGCTGCCCCGGCTCAGGTTCTCGCGCTTCGTGGGCAAGGAGTTGTAGATGCTGATCTCCGCCGTACCCTGGACAGCAAACTTGGCCATGGTGTAGGGGATCTGCTTGAAGAGGATCGGCACCAATCCTGCGTACCAGCCCATGATGCCCTCGCGCTGGATCAGCGCCTGCATGGCCGTGAAGGTGCCCTTGGGGAAGGTGGGGTCGGAGACCTGTCGAATGCGGGCGGCCTCCAAAGGGCAAAGGAAGATGTCGGCGATGAACTCCGCGCAGGCCGAGGCTCCCAACATGATAGGGGTCCTCATGTCCCATGCCTTTTGGTCTCCCAAAGATTTCGTGAACTGGATCTTGAAGAACTCGTTCCCACCGAACTTGAACCAGCCCTGCACGAAGTAGCCGGCCGCCGTGGGCCCAAGCCCAGTGGCCAGCACTCCCGCGCCCTCCTCGGCCACAACCTGGCGCCCGACGCTCAGCAAACCTCCCTGGTACTTCACGGGGTCCAGCTGGATGCGGGTCTTCACCACGTCCACAGGGCAAAGGGCGCCGTGCGTGATGGAGCAGCAGATCCCGCCGCAGAGCGC